CTTCACAGGGCTTCTTTTAAGAAAATGCATGTGGAGAATGGGGCTAGCCTAGTCCAAAGGTCAGATGCGGATCCCCTCCCAGCATGCCTGGGGGTACTGCACTGGCCCACTGCCCTTCTCCCGTGTACGCTCCTCATGGCTGAGTCCTGTGCCCTCTGGGTTGGGTGGTGCTGCATGCTAGGCACCACTGCCCCATAGTCTGCCAGGGAGGGCGCCCTTGGCAATCCAGGCTTTGCCTGTCTGGAGAAGAACCAGTTTCAGGGCTCAGCCATCCTGTGCCATTCCCTGTCTTCACATCCACTCCCACCAGGATGTTTTACATATTTTAATTAAAGTGCCACCCTGGCTGCCAGGGCCTCCGATAGATGGCTCCCATCCGGGGGAGGGGCAGGGCGGCAGCGAGGTGAGACATTGTATCTGAAAACATTCTCCTGCCCCAGGGAACATGCTGGCTCCCAGCTCCGGAGGCTGGTTCCAGGAGGAGAGGCACAGCGGCAGGCGGCAGGTGCACCGTGGGTGGAGAAGGCAGGGCTGGGGCGTGGGAGAGGAGTCAGGTAGGAAGTACCATGAGTGGTTCCTGAGCACCGAGCACCGGCTGGCTGGCGGGCTGTGGGCAAGCCCGCTTCTTGCAGACACCCAGTCCTGCGGACACTCCTTAGCGGTGTCAAATTGTGACAAATGGCACGGGGAAAAGTGGCTGGGTGGCAGCTGCCGCATCTCCGCGGGAAGCAGGTATTTTTAGCACTGCGCCTTGGGGCTCTGGGGCTGGGTTAATTAATCATGGTGAACAGTAACAAGTTTTGTTCTTGATACCAGTCCCCACACCCTGTGCCAGCCTTGGGCCCCATTCCGCAGACTGAATACCAGCTGCAGAGGCAGAAGTCGTGCCCAACTGCAACAGCTCTGGACAGTCCTCATGTGGCCCTGGGGGGCTTGTCACCCAGCCCAGGCTAGGGTGCTGTAGGGCTTGGCCCAGAGCCCTACACTGTCTCTAGCAGCAAAGGCCTCCCCTACGCTCCTCCAGCCTGTTTTTGCCCCAGACCTTTCACTTTGCTGTTCCTTCTGGAACTCCAGCTCCAAATCTTCCCCTCTGTCTGTGCTCAAGGACCAAAGGCCCCCAAGAACACACCCTCATCCAACAGGCTTCCTATCATCTGGCCCAGGTTGTTGCCATTGGAGACTTAGCACCAGGCTGGATTGTCTGTGGTGAGGGTTGCTCATTCTGCTATTGCAGTGCCAGCTGTCTGCAACGTGACCTTGTCTGTCTTCTTCACTCTCTTGAATCCCTGATGCTTGACTCAGCACACCTAAGGTAGATATTCGGCAAATGGCATTGAACAAACCGGTGGTGGGATGGGTGGCTGGGGGCAGATTCTAGCTGATGGGGTGCTAAGAGCGTCTAGCTTCCTTTGAACATGGGACAGGAAGGTGAACACTGCTGTAGGGCCCTTGTCCTGATTCCAGACAGGATCAAGGTTCATTTCATCTGCAGAGGGGGAAGCTGTTGGGGTAGGGCCAGGACAGCAGATGGTACCCATTCCTGGTCAGGGGCAGGGCCCAGTAGCAGTAGTGCGCAGACCTGGTAGGGCTCATCCAGGCACTCTGCAAACTTGCCAAGCACTCCATCCAGGCATATAACCCTCCCCTGCATCTCCTCGGAGCCGACCTGCCCACCTTCCCCTATATGCCCCCATCATTTGAGATGCTGAGAGGCCCAGGGCAGGGGATGCCTGCTGACATGAGTCCATGCCAGGTGGGGTTATGATTCCTTGCTCGTGATATCTTGATAGGGTCACACTGATCGGCCTTCTTCTTTCCCTGGGATACACGGAAGGAGACTCTGGAGGAGGGCCCAGATTCTGTGAAGCTTCTAGAACACTCAGGACATGTACATGGTGTGGCCCTGCTGAGGACACAGCCCTGAAGCCTCAGGGGGATCACAGGCTCGGCACCTTCTGGTGGCTGCCTCCACCTGCTCTCCTCACCACCCTCTGTATGCCAAGACTACCTGAGGATCCCTGCCCCTGTGGGTATATTGGACCCTAGCTAACCCATGCTTTCCCCATTCATACAAACCTATGAGACAATGGACCAACGGAGCATGCATAGTAAGAGTAACAATAACTTATTGTAGTTCTCAGCAATTGCAACCTAGTTTCTCTTTTTATGACGCCAAGAACTTTTACCCTCTCATTTAAAGACAGCACTTACTGACTTTTTTCGGCATATCTAAATTGCCAGCATCCCTACTCTGGTGTTGGGGAGCCATTATCAAGTAAGGAAAAGGAATATCACAACGGTCACTCTTCTCAAACACACACACACACAAAAAACACAGAGACAGACACCCCAGGGGTGCTTCTAACAGCCACAGGCAGAATAGGAGCCAGTACACTGTGCCAACCTCCCAGAGGGTAGCAGGAACCCAGTCCCTTGAGCCATCGGCACCACCTCCCATGGCTGGCGTGGCAGGAAGCCAGAGTCAGGAGTGAGAGCCAGGGACTGAACCCAGGCACTCTGGGGCAGGAGGCCAGACTGCCCTTTTGCTGCTTTTCTTTCACAGCTCTAGTGGAGACAGCATTCCATGTCGGAGACAAAGAGGCAGAAAATTGGAGACAGGCAGAAGCAGAAAACTGTCAAATGACAAAGTCTGGAAGACAGGGATGCATTCTTTAGTTTGCTGATTCGAGAAATGTTTATTGAGAACCCTACTATTTGCCTGCCCACATGCTCACAGGTGCCTAACTAATGCAGCATAAGACCACGGGCTGGTTCTGTCCACTCCTCATCCCACCTGGCTCCTAGGTAGGGAATCCAGAGGTTGCTGTTTGCACTATGACCAGTAGGTGTCACTATGTCAGCAGGAAAGCCAGGAGGAGCCAGGATTTGCCCACATTTGATGCTGTCTAGGTAGGTACCTGAGCTCTGTTACGCGCAGGGTACCAGGCAGGAGGCATGAGGGTGCCCAGGGTGAGAGACACACAGTCCCTGTCCTCACGGAGTTTACTGCTCTGTCAAGAACCTGGAAGGACAAGCTCCTGAGCCAAAAAGAGGGAGAAGACAGCAAGTGACTGCATGAGTGCCGTGCTAGCCAGAAACCTCAGAGGAGCCATCCCTCGCCGCCTCACCTTCCAACGGAAGGGAGAGGCCCCGAGAGGGAAGGTGCTTCTACTGGGGTCACACAGCAGTTCCAGATCCCCTGATGCTTACCATAATGCTCTTTCCTTTAAACATGTGTCTGAATCAATGGTGTTGCTCTGTTCATCTTGGGATTAAAAAAAAAATCCCCCCTTTGTTTAGCTGTTGAGTCTGACCCCGTCTGCAGGGCACTTGACCCAGGCCATTCTGCATTTTGGAAAGGATAGCACCCTCACCTGGCCCTGTGGCACTCCCAGCACATCGGCTGCTTGGGGCAGCCCTTCCCTGCCCATGATGTTGGCAGCCCGAGGGTGGCTGTGGTGAAAGTGCTTCCACCACAGATGTGGGCAGCACATGTGTGTCTCATGGTGGAAGGCATCGCAAGGCCAGAGTGCATGACGGACAAGAGGAGACCAAACTCCTTCTAGGACTCAGGCCTGATATAACAGTATTTACCCATTCACACTCGCTTCTCCAAGCCTCACCTCTAGATGCTGGTACATGGTGATTCTATTTCAGTATGAGTCAGGGGGAGGGGGCCGTCATTTAAGCTGCAGCACCAGGTTGCTCATGTGGGTACTGGTGCGGGTGTGGTCGTGGTTGCCGATTCTAATCCAGCAGCAATACCAGGAGAGTGGGGAGGAAGACGACCGCACGCAGTTTTGGATGGGCTGGCTTGGCGGCTCGTTGTTGGAGGTGTTTCAGGTCTGGAGCCGACAGAGGTCTGGGCAAGAGGCTGAGATCTGAAGGTGAAGGGTGGGTCCCCGATGAAACCAAAGTGAGTGAACTAGAGGCGCTTCCCTCCAGCGTTGCTATCAGGGAAAAAGGGCAAGTTCATGTTTCTGTATGCTTCACCTCCAGCTCACCAGAACTCATGCAGGGGGCACTGCTAGGGTTTGTCCCCACCGAAACCCACCAAGGCTTAATTTCTCCACGCCGTTGTGTTGGGAGGCAGACCCAAGGGGAGGTGTCTGAGCTGTGGAGATAGAGCCTTTTCAGGGGGACAGTTCTCCCTCCTGGGAATCTGGCGTCTCTCCTACACCTGTCCACTTGCCCTTCCCTTCCCGCCACGAGGCCTCACAGGAAGCTGAACGGTTCGGGCCACCTGACCTTGCACTCCAGACCCGTGAGCCACAATAAGCCTCTTCCCCGTCCCAGGGATGGTGTTACAGCAGCAAAAAATGAACTAAAGGGCAGGCATGGCGGATGGGGTGGGGGCTGCTGCTCTTGCTCACTCTGGACCCCTGGTCCTAGAGCACAGTGCATTCAGCACTTCCTGAGAACCGCGGGATCTGTTTGCACCATGCAGACTGAAATCAGCCAGTGCGTACCTTCATTCTGACTCCTGGGGTCATCTAGAATTCTGGCATCACTGCAGGAAATCAGACTTTCAGAATGTAAGAGCTGAAAGTAGGATCTGACACCCTCTCTAACAATGCCCTTGCTTTACTGCTAAGAAACCAAAACCCAGCGCTTCTCCAGGACCCTTGCTAGTAGGGGAGACCAACAAGTCCTGGAAGCCACTGAGCCTGGCCCTCCCTCCCTTGTGCTGGCTGCCTTGGAATCAGTTTATCCCTTGGGCTAGAAGAAAACCTGAGTTCTGGTTCTACAAGGGCAGTGAATTGCCAAGAAGCCACATTCAAGAGAGTAATTTTGATAGATGAGCAAAACTCTAGGTAACTGACCCTGGAGGCTGAAACGTGCAAATGAGCAGAGCGTTTTTGTCTTCCCGATTGGCCGAAGGGGTTCTGAGGTCACAATGCATGGGATTGTTCCACTCCACTGATCTAGCATGGGATTGTTCCACTCCACTGATCTGGCTGATCCCTGGCTCCCTCTCTGTCCAACCGGGAAGTGAAACCATGGAGCCTGTCTATCAGGCAGGTTCCATTCTCATGAAGGTCAATACCTTGCAAGGGAAGAAGATGGTGGAGAGTGGCCTCCAGTCCGGAGACTTCTCCCTACCCCAGTCCTGGCCTTCCTGCCTTCCCCCACCAGCCAACCTGGAGATCCTGCAGGAAAAGGTGGCTGGGGTGCAGCGGGAGCTGGAAGACTTCAAGAAGGAGGTGCTGAAGGCCATCCACTTTCTGGAGGATGCCTTCCACAAGATGGACGGCGCCCTGGCACAGCAGGAAGAGCAGGCGGCCCGGGTGAAGCAGCGGCTGCGCGAGGAGGAGGACCGCGGCATCGTGCGCAACAAGGTCCTCACCTTCCTGCTGCCGCGCGAGAAGCAGCTCCGGGAGCACTGCCAGCGGCTGGAGCACCTGCTGCTGGGCAGGAGCTGCCACGGCTTGGGCGTCGCCAAGAGGAACCAGGTGGAGTGAGCCGCTGGCGCCGCCCCAGCTGGGCTGCGTGCAGAGAGCTTCTGATGAGACGGACAGGCCCTGGGTCTCACCCACTGACTTCCCTCTCCCTGTTCTCCATTGCTTCCCTTCCACAAAAATAACACTTTGCCGAGATGCGAAGAGATCCTAATACGGTTATTTGGCGAGGTTGCATTTCTCCAGCCTCATCAAGGAGGGAGGCACCCTGCCCCACCCCCTGCCCCACCCCCTGCCAGACGTTTGACTTTCACCTTGAGCCATTTTCCTGTTTGTAATGGTAATATTGTTTGTATGTACAGCATTTTAAAAGATATTCTTAAACAGATTGTGTTGAACACATGCACCTTTCTGCGACACGCTCACGACGTGTCTTGGCACCTGTGTGCAGCCAGGGGTCGGGTTGTTTGTCTATACCTGCAGTTCCTCACCCCTTGGCTTTCCCCAGGGCTCGCTCTGGGTGAAGGTCAGCTCTCACTTGGCTCTGCTTCCCACATGGGCTTCTCGGCTTCCTCTCCCACTCGTTTGCAGACCTGGCCGGTCCGTGTAGCCTTGCTTGTTGAGCCTCTCCGGGTGGAACACTGAGCTCTGGATGCAGCAACACCCATAAGGATGTGCCACCAATTTCCATGTTTGAACAGGGGCAGGTCGCAAATACATCATCCCTCTTGCCTCCCGGGCCCCTCGAAGGTGAACGCTTTTTCCTATGAAACACAGGTAGACTGGGGGCTGAAAGCTAAGCCCTGCACTCGGGGTTCCCACACTAGTAAGTGACAGGACTGTGGTTCATGACCAGGTCACCCATGCTCGCTCGTGGAGACCTCCCTCTCCAGGTACATACAGGCTGCTGCTTCTGGAGGACTCAGATCATCAGGTGCCTTGCGGACCAGTCACTGTCATTGTACCTTTTAATTCTAGTTAGCCCTCAGTTTTGCTGATCTACATGTTCTGCTGCAGCATGAGTGAGGAGCCTGCAGGCCTGGGCAGAGTCACTGTCTTCCTTGCCCTCTGACCTTTCACTGTGGCCTCGTCCTCCCTCTGCTGTCTCACAGACTCTAAATCTGATGCCAACAGCTGGATCCCCCAGCTGGACCTCCCCACAGCACCTGATCTGCAGTTCATCTGCATCCATCCGCCGACCACCCAACTGGCAGGAGTGTGTCCTGCCCTAACTTTAGGTTGCTTCTGCTTCAGAAGTCTGGCTACAGCCATGTTCCTGATAGTGCTAGCAAGAGCAGTAGTGCTGCTCCAAAGAGGCAGTAAGACGACAGAAAATCCCAGGAACCAGCCTTGACCCTTGGCAGGCAGGTTATTCAGTTTCAGATGCCGAGGAAACCAAAGCTCAGAGAAGCTAAGTGACTTGCCAGGATCACACAGCTGGGAGCACCTGTGCTCTTCACCAGCCTGTGGCATCTTGGGAAGCCTCCAGGGGTGTGATAGTCACTGCCTGAGCCCTGGGGTCGCTGAGGCAAGCTCTGCGGGGAGGCGGAGCTTGTTGGGGAAGGGTGATTCCCAGGAGGGCACTGCTGTGCGTGTACACAAAAGGATCTGAGAGGGAGTGCTTGGCTGGCCCAGAAGCGCCTCTGCCGTATGCACAGGAGCCTGGATCTAGTGCTAGCCATAGGTTCAACATGTCGGGCAACGGCCCAGGAATGAGGGTGTCTGGGGGGCTTCACTAACAGGTGCCAGTCCGGCCGCATCTGCAGCCGCCTGTCTTTAGTCCTGGTCCAACACTTTAAGCAGGATCTTGGAGGGCGTGGGGTGTGTCCAGAGGGTGGACCTCCTCGAGGGATTGGGGACCTTTGTAGGACACTGTCATGACCTTGCAGGTGCCCGGGGGCTTCAGGGGGTTGATAAATGTTCCCAGTTAGCCTGCCTGTGTCAGGAACCAGTGGAGGGACACACAGGAGTATGGTCTTAGTGCCAGTAAGCTTCCTTAAGAAGGTCATGTGGGGTCTTGCTGCCCTCATCCCTCAGCTGGGTTTCTAGGCACAGCACTCTGATCAGAAATTGCTCTTCCATGTGGCCAGCGTATTGGCTCAACAGGCTAATCCTCTGCCTGGGTACTAGTTCTAGTCCAGCTACTCCACTTCCCATCCAGCTTCTTGTTTGTGATCTGGGAAAGCAGTCGAGGGATGGCTCAGGTCCTTGGGACCCTTCACCCACGTAGGAGACCCAGAAAAAGCTCTTGGCTTTGGATCATCTGCTCAGCTCTGGCTGTTATAGCCATTTGGGGAGTGAATAAGTAGATGGGGTATTTCTCTCTGTGTCTCTCCTCTCTGTAAATCTGCCTTTCAGATATAAATAAATCTTGAGAGAGAAATCTCTCCTCCTCCCTGGGGAGACAGCTGGGAAACCTACTGGCTTGCAGTTCCTTCCTTAATGAAAGACAAGAGCAATGAGGAAGAGTTAGACCTTCATCCTTTTAGGGTAGAGCAGAGGACAAAAGACGGGTGCTGGCAGAAGGCAGTTGGGGTCCCAGGCCTTGGTAAGAAACAAGGGTAACGCTGTTGTGAATTCCAGATCAGCAGGACTGGGGCAGAAACATCCTGGAAAACCGTGCACATTTCAAAAGTGGATCTGGTGTTGGACCAACTCCTTGGAGGCCACCTCTAGACACTTGCAATGGGCTGGCTGATAAACGAGTCTTTGTTTTCCCAGGGCCTTGAGCCAGGCAGAGAGTTTATGCTAAGAATGTGATTTATGGGAGGGCGTGGGTCAAGCTCTATCAATTTGACCTCTAGAGGAGCTAGAGACCGAATAACTAAGGTTGGGCACTCGGATACCCCACGACTGCCTGATAAACCACTGACAAAAGCCCCAACACGGAGACCCCATGCATTTCCTTCTCGATAACCCTGCGTCTGTGCGGTCACACACTGACAGCAGTGGCCCCCAAGAGGGGATAGCTGGAAGCACACGCCGGGCACCCCCTGGACTCTGCTTGTGCAGATCTTGGTCTCTTGTCTTCCAGCTGGGATCAGCTGTGAGTGTGAGAGCAGCTTTTCTCAAGTCTGCGAGGTTGAGCACTCCATGGAACCTGAGGGTGGTCTTGGGGTCTCCCCTCGTGCAACGCCAGATGATGCACTTGGCATGCAACCATGTGAGCTGTGCCGACACCGTACTCCCCAGGGCAGATGAAGAAGCTGGGATACAGGCTCAGCAGCTTGCCTGGGAGGTGAGAGCAGCTTCACTGAGCTCTGTCTCTTGGCTACCAACCCCCTAACACAGGAGGGAATCCTGGAGTGCTGCTCTGGGTTCCCTTTGCCGGAAGAGCCCTCGAGGGTGGTCCCAAAACTTCCCGGCTCTCTGTCAGTCCTCCAAGAATGATGATGATGAGGAAGTGCTGGGGGAAGAACCAGACTTTCCTGGAGAGCACAGGTGTACATCTGTCTGGGTGGGGCTAGATGCTCTACCTGGAGACGCATGGGTGTCAGGCCACAGGGTCTGTCTCTTATCCTTCCCCGTCCCCATGCCCATATGATGGCTGCAGGAACTTCAAAACTGTGTCATTGCTCAACCACTTGAAAAACAGGAAAAAGGTGTCAGACTTTCCTTTGCAAGATTCCTCTTTTTTTCCCCCACTCCTCAGGAGAAATTTTCCAGAAATCCCCTGGTAAATTTTCTGTGACATTTCTTTGGCCAGACCTGGGTCACTTGCCACCCCAAACCAATTATGAGCAAAAAGAAAAAAAAAAAACCCCGCAACGCAGCTCCTGGTTCAAGTCCTTGGGCCTCTGCATCCATGTGGGAAACCAAGAAGCAGCTCCTGGCTGCTGGCTTTGGATAGGGCAAACTCCGGCCGTCAGCAGGTGGAAGATCTGTTTCTCTCTGCCTCTTCTCTATCTGTAGTTTTGCCTTTCAAATAAATTTTTTTTTCAAAATAACAAAAGGCATAAGGGACCATCCCACGCTGCAATATGAATGAGCTGTGAGAACCTGATGCTATGTGAGAGCAACAAGACAGCAAAGGCCATGTTTGTGTGCCCACACACGGAGACTGTCCAGGGTGGGCGAACTCATGGAAGTAGAGAGTAGAAGCTGCTGAGGGTCATGAGTGGGAACAAGAAGACAGACTAACTGCTTCTAAGTGTGAGTTTTCTGTCTGGAGTGACAAGATTCATGTAAAGTTATTGTGTATTATCTATAATTGAATTGTATGGTGTGAATTATCAATAAAGCTGCTTTAAAAATAAAGTATAAGGGGCCTGGTGCAATAGCCTAGTGGCTAGTCCTCACCTTGCACATTCCGAGATCCCATATGGGTGCTTTTTTGTGTCCTGGCAGCCCCCCCTCTCATCCAGCTTCCTGCTTGTGGTCTGGGAAAGCAGTCAAGGATGGTTCAAAGCCTGGGGGCCCTACATCCAAGTGGGAAACCCGGAAGAAACTCCTGGCTCCTGGCTTTGGATAGGCTCAGTTCCAGCTGTTGCGGCCACTGTATATCTGCCTTTTCAATAAAAATAAATCTTTTAAAAGGCTAAATAAAGTCTAAGTTCAACTATACAATCGAACAAAAGGGAAATGATACTACGATATACAATTTAATACTGAGATCTCAAGCATGGACCTTTTTTCCCAAAAGATTTATTTACTTGAAAGAGTTAAAAAGACAAAGAGGCAGAGAACTCTTTCATCTTCTGAGCGGGGATGACTGCACTGGCCGGAGCAGGGCTTGTCTGTAGCCAGGACCGTGGCACTCCATCTGGGCCTCTCGCGTGGGAGGCAGGGGCCTAAACACGGGTGATTGTTTGTTGCTTCCCAGGCATGGCAGCAGGGAACTGGATTAGCAGCAGAGCTGGTGGGACTTGAGCTGATGGTGCGCACGTAGGATGCCAGCATTTCCAGATGGCGTCTTAATCACCTGCACCGCGATGCCAGCCCCAGGACTGAGACTGTTCCCAAGTTGTGTTTAGTTTGTAGACATTCTGGAACCACAGGAGGTCCAGAAGCTGCTTAGGTTATGCATGTCAAAGGCGCCTCAGGGACTGGCCACAGTGGTAGCA